CCCCCCCCCGGTTTTATAATACATACAGCAAACATTCCACAAAAAATAACACATTGAATTCACTACAAACTGTATTATTTATACGGGCACGGGAAAACTTAAAACGCATCTAGGACTGCCCAGTTAATCAGAAACAAAATCCAAACATTTTTCTCCCTTTGGCACTGGGTTCAAAATATTTATTGTTTGTACGCCTCCAGAACGGAAACAAAGTTCAATATTCAGAAATTCAATATAGCAATTCAGTTCTCCGCCTACCAGTAAATTCAAGGGGAAAATGGCGACATTCGAGTTACTATTAAAAATTGCTAGATGTTTTCTTTTCCTTTCTACTGTTTTCTCCAGGGTGTTTTCTAAAGATTTGCAGTTGTACGAAATTGAAAAACAATGTTAAGATACGAGACAAAATATGGCTTCTTTTACATTGACATTCTCGAGTTAATGCCCGGACAACTCAGACACAAAATTCATGACACACAGCTTGTGTTTTTTGTGGTGCTAATTAATTCTGCCGCCACAAAAACCAGACAGTCTATTTATAGCTTTATCAAAGGAAAAATTATTTGTCCTTGCTCAAGTGCAAGAAAGCTTTAGACCGAAGAAAAGAACGGTTCTTACACAGCTGTTAAGTTTATCGCAGAATATTTTTCAAAATAGAAAGGTACAGCTGAAATAAAGAAAAACTGAATTTTGTGTAAAGAAATTTAAATCAGTCAGAAAGTCGGAAAAATAAACTTTAACTTTTTCTTACTTGTTAGATTATTGGAGATTAGGTAGGTTGACGTGTTCGAATACAAACAGAAACGATAATCTGAATTGCTTCAGATTTATATGTTAATTGTCTTTCAGTGCTACAAAGTTTGGTAAAGCGAAGATCCAGTTTGAGATAGATTCGGTGTTGCGTTGAGCGCGCTGATTATAAGAAAAAAGTGCTATTGTTTACAAAAGCCAATCAGCGAGGACGAAAAATTCACGTGCTCAAAATGAACAAAGGGGTCCCAAGTGTAATGAAATGCCTGATCGACTCCCAATGGCGCTTTGTTATACTCAGGCGAACAACATGAAAGGGAAGACGACGATTCACTGCCTTTTCCCGGAGATTTTGGCCATTATTTTCAGCTATTTAGACATCAGGGATAAGGGAAGAGTCGCCCAGGTCTGTTCGAAATGGAGGGATGCGGCTTATAGTCGTTTAGTGTGGCGTGGAGTACAAGCAAGGCTACATTTGAGGAGGTCAAATCCGCATTTGTTTCCTTCCTTAGCGAAACGTGGTATTCGTAAAATACGAATTCTTAGTCTAAAGAAGAGCCTTAGCTACGTTATACAAAGCTTGCCAAATATCGAGAGTCTGAACCTTAAAGGATGTTACAATGTCACGGACATCGGCGTTGGACATGCGTTCGTCAAAGATCTTTCGTCTTTGACAGTGTTAAATCTAAGTTTGTGTAAACAAATCACGGATACAAGTCTTGGACGGATCGCTCGCTTTTTAAGCAATTTAGAAGTGCTGGATCTCGCTGGTTGCTGTAATATAACTAACACAGGTCTGTTGCTTTGTGCTTGGGGTCTGCCGAAGTTAAAGTATCTAAATCTTCGAAGTTGCCGACACATTTCGGACACCGGCATAGCGCACCTCGCCGGTTTGAACGCAAGTTCGGCCCGTGGGAACAAGAATTTAACTACTTTGTGTTTACAAGACTGTCAAAAGATAACTGATAACGCTCTAAGCAACATAGCTAAAGGACTAGTTCATCTGCAGTCGATCAATTTGAGCTTTTGCTGTGGAATTACGGAGAGCGGACTCTCGCACTTAGCCACACTTCGAAGCTTGAGAGAATTGAATCTTCGGTCTTGTGAAGGAATTGGCGACGAAGGCATAGCGCATTTGGCCGTAGGAGGCCTTAATTTGATGAGTTTGGATGTTAGCTTCTGCGACAAGGTTGGCGACGGTGCTCTCAATCATATATCAAACGGACTACATCATTTGAAAAATTTAGGATTGAATTCTTGCCATATCACCGACGAAGGTCTTGGCAAAGCGGCACGAAGTCTTCACGACCTTCGTGTGTTAAATATTGGACAGTGTACGCAAATTACAGACATCAGTTTAGCCTCTATCGCGGATAATTTGACTAGTATTACGAACATTGACTTGTATGGTTGTACCAAAGTCACAAAGACAGGATTGGAGAAACTTATGCATTTGCCACATTTACAAATTCTTAACCTGGGTCTATGGCAAAGATGACCAGACATGTAGGCAAAGCAGCTGCGACTCTCTTGTAATTTTATACCTCATTCATTTCATAGTAAAGGAATCGCTCTCCAGACGAATAATTATAATAAAAAAAAAACACAGTGCCAAAAGTCATTTTGTAAAATGATGAACAAATTATACTTTCGAAAAGTATTTCTAAATGTATCATTTATTGGAATGGTGACACTCATAAGTATGCAGTCTTTATTTATAGGTAACATCAGGAGGCAATAACGTAGGTCACAATTTTTTTTAACTCTGAAAGGACCATTATTTTGCAGAAAATATGGCCGGGGGAAATATGTTTGAATCACCAAAATGGAATTGAATTTACCGTCTGCTATCATAGCCTATAACGAACTCAAATAGTACAAAAATTTTTGTACATTACATTTTGTATTGGACATTTTATAATCGAGTTTAAGAGAAACACAGAGTCAACTCAAAGAACAAGTCAGCTGTGAGAACAGTCTGCGGGCAAATTGTTTTATAGTAAAATTACGCTTAAAATGCAATATTAAAATCACACAGTTCCTAAATTTCTTGTAAAATGTTGTCTTAAAAGTAATGATATCCAAGCCTGAATCTATAATTTGCCAATTTCAATGAAAAATTGACCATTTTGTTGAACGCTCCTCGGCTCAGCTGCCTTGCTTGACAGTTCTTTTCAACATAGTTCAACCAGCCAAGGATTTCTATAAGCACTTTGGATTGACTTAAAATACCATCTACAATCCAATAATGTATAATCATTTTAAAAGCGATTTTCGACGACGGTGGTTGTGTGACTGTTCTTCTAAAGAAGGAAATCGCGTGTAAATTTCTTTGAGAATTTCTTGATGAAAGAAGATGCTTTGCATTCTTTTTCCAGTTCACCCGATATCCAGTTACCGCCATTTGCTGAAAAACATTTATTTACTGAATAGATCTTGGAGAGTTTGGTTTGGTTAAATTTTAGTGAATTTCCAGCTACTTAAAATTCTGCCCTTTTTCAGCAATGATAAAATGAACATATTACAGGTTCGATACACTCCTCCCGTTGATATCCTTGGGAATTTTAAAACCCTTTCACACAGGAAATTCTAACTTTTGAGTCTCCAGACTAAATCCTATGGATTGATCAGTTAACTGAATCCTCTTCAGCATTCCTCTTTCTTGCCAATTAAAAAAGTATTGGCTGTTATTTTACAAAAATGAAATTAGTGATTTCCTAGATGTCATTTTGGCAACTATTGTTAATATAATAAGTAACACAACATGGAACGCCAGTTAGATCAATGAATTGGATTAAAAGTTATTAGTTAAGCACAGAAGTTTCTAACATATGCACAATGTGATCGTGTAACGCGATTAACCTTGAACCCTCCACATTGAACTCCACACATTTCCTCGAAACACTGTTTGAGAAATTTTGTTAATAGATCAAAGCATTTTCCCATTGCTGATCATTTTAGTAAATCTCATGACCTTTTCTGTTAACTACTATACTGATATTGTTGGAAGAAAATTGATGTTGGTCAGTCTTGGGACAAAAAGGGTTGAAATAACGTGGATCCTAGAATGTCACAGAACAAGGCAGCCTCGGTTGAGTAAAATCGATAATTTTTTAGCTATTCGTGAAAAATATGAGACATTTCAAACCAGTTATGTTTGTACGCCTTTTTTTTTTTTTTTGCATGCACCTGGGACATCTTAAGGATAACTTATACGTACCCCTCCCCTGACACAATGATACGCTGGGGGTACGTGTTTGGTAGGTTTAAGCAGTTATGGAGAATCTTGGAGAACCTTCTACAGATGCCCTTATATTTTAAACCTTTGGAGTGCAGGCCCAACTGAAGATGATTGATTTTCGGCCTCTCGATTTGTTTTGAAAAATGGAGAATTAAAGGGTGATAGAGTACTAAAGAAATTGGAAAATTATGGAAATAAAATGTTCTTTACTTATTCAGCAGCTAATTTATCTTTCCTATGATTATTTTAAACATATGACCAAAAATAATGAGACACGTTGTAATTGCTTTCTAGAGGATTCTTTTGTATCTGTTATTCTTTTCTTTCAATTGAAACGAGTGTTTTTTAAGTACTCATATAAAACCCTTGGGTTTTGCCATTTCGCTGCTTTGTTTTATACTTTGTTTCCTAAGAAACCAAAAGGAAACTGCTCTTAACATAAATGAGTTCCACCTGAAATTAAGATGACGTCAGGCAGATGCCAATAATAAATATTGTCATTTTTTATGCGTATTGGCTGTCGAAGAAACAACAATTAATACGAAATTTAAGAGCACTGCTCTGTACAAATCGAAAAAATGCTTACAAATTGTAAAGGCTTCAATCGAGTGACGGGTGAAAATCGAAAATTAAAGATCGCCCACCCCCTCTGATAAGTGCTTTTGCGCTCTTCTTTCTGGTATTCCTGTTTATTTTACCACACATAGGACCCCCCAAAACCTGTAAAATCTAACCATAAGTTAGCTTTGAGAGATGACCACAAAGCCTATATATATTTGGCATTCTCACGTCATTGTCAACATCGCGTGCAAACCCAGTACAACTGCATGATCATGTACCGAGTCTACCGACTAACTTGCCTCTCAGGGTAAATGTTGCCATTTACCAGAATAACAGGTTTTCACGCAGACTGAATGTCAAGAAACACCTAACATCTCCGGCGTTTTTTGCTATAGAAAAGTTAGAGTTTAAATACGTTCGCCAGTTGAAGTACACTTAATGTTTTATGGTAATCTCCTTTATATTGGTTCTGCAAGAATTCAAAAACAATAATTACTACTTTGAATGTAGGGCCGATTTACACAAGAAAATAAACTACCATGATAAAGTTACCAACGAATTTCCAATTGTGGGAATCAGTGACAAATTTGGAGACAGAAATCCTTCTCGAGTTGTGATCGAGTGACTGTCAAGGACAATTCTCTCTTTTTGGCGACGCCTCAATAACGTCACACTACAACGTCTTATTTTTGAGAGAATTAAACATAGGAAAGGCCCACACGATCATCAAACTAATACATAATCAGTACAACGCAGAGAAGGAAAAACATTGGAAACAAAAACATAAACCCAACTGCCCAGCACTTTAGCATCCTGGACAGTACCAGACATCATTTTATAGTTCGCTTCATAGTATCATGACGGAAATTAAACTACAGTACTCTCCAACTCGTATACTGAAGTTAAACTATGCCCAATGAAAACAGTGAGATGTACTGACACACGTACCATAATCGAGAAAACTACGCGAAGTATGATAAGTTAGCCTTTCATGAGAGACATTCAGCTAGAGCAGCGAATATATTAAAGAGACACTAATTGAAAATGTGCAATTTGGAAAGAGAAACTTGTCTATGCTCTATTTCCATAAGATTTTCGGTCTTTTTGACGAAACAACTGAAATGTTCATACAATAACGTAAACGATGGGTAACAATGATCAACGGAAAATGAAAGTATTAAAGGGTGGAAAGGCTGTAACAAGCTCTGACGAAACAACGCACATGACGAATCAGCAAATATTTTGAGGAACTCTTAACATGTGTGCCTTGGGAAAAACATTAAGCAGCTAAGAGGCTATAGCTTAAATGTCCTCTGGACGATATTTCACCAGTTATTTTGCACCGTGTAAAATATTCTCTTGAAACTGAGGGAAACCACAAAACGTAACTGTTTTCATTCCTAGACCACGTAGTGTGGAGAGATTCAGTATCCGTCAATCTAAATTTTGAATTTCGTCTCGAAATCCTACGATGTTACCATTCAATCAAACCTCATTTTCCGTAGGTTGGCTGGGGAATATTGGTTTCTCAGTAGTTTCCTGCGTAAAAATTTGGATTTTTTTCGTCAAATTTTGGTTTTAAAAACCTCTGGGAGTAAAAGGCTTAATAAATAGAATAGAAACACCATCAAAAAGGATTTCTTTTTTTTCAAAATGCAGTGAAATCTTGACATACAGTTGGCATCTCAAAGAGTACCAAAGAATCGTTATTAATTATATTTTGATTTACCTGGGTCAAAATTTTTGACGCAATTTGCCCTGGATAGATTGTAAAAACACTTGCCTAAACTTAAAAACTCCTGAATGTATGTCGATATTTATTTGACTTTAAGAATATTCTGCAGTTTTTAAGAGAAGATGTTGTCAGGTGATTTTTCCATTCGAACAAGTGTGCTTGGGGTTTATTTCCCATAAAAGCTGCTGATTATCAAGCCTGCGTACTTGGTTACCAACAAAAACTGCTCTGAATGAAAAGATGCAGATCATTGACATAAGGTAGTTTCTGTTATATAACCCAATTTCGAACCACCCTACTGAGAAGTGCATGGGTGTGGTCGGGTGATCTGAGATGGCACAGCGTGGGCGAGACATAGTGAAGCCAGTTTACGACGATTCTCACATCGGATAAACCAAACTCTGTGATATATTTTCCACTTGTTATTTTAAG